TTCCCTACAGCACACAGCCCTTACATGGGATGAGGCCTGAGGTCCAGGATTCAGACTATCTGAGGCAGTCTCACAACTGGTCTCAAATGTTGTTCTGCTGTAGTGTTTTAGTCCCTGTTATTCCAAACACTCTACTACTTCCACATCATCTAGATGAGATGAGAGACATTGCCACCCTTGGAAGGAGGCACTTACTGCCTGGTTCTGTCACAATACATCTTCCATTCTCTTTCAAGCTGGGAGACAATTTCCTCAGATGAGTTTTCTTTCATTAGCGACCAAAGGTCTTTCGCTTCTAATGGCTGCCGATAGCCTTTCCAGAGTAGCCTGCAGAGCACACAAAGAGCTGCTAATACACAAGCATATAGGGATTTGCTGTCCATGTACAATTTGCCAAGCTGATGGGGATTAAACTAGTCCCATATATTGGCCTAGGAGCTTGCCTACCTCAAGGTTTACTCAGAAATAGCTAAATTCACACACATTCCTGAATAATGGTTGGTATTCAGGTCTAATTCACAGCTCCATTTTTGAGCCTGAAGGTGGGACTGAAAAGTGGGGACAAATGTGGCATTTAAGTCAACTTTATACTCTCCATATTCAGAGGCCTGGTTCCTTTAATATTTGCTAGAATAGCCTCAGAACTGCCTTGCTTTAACTTACACTCTGCTACCTGTGGGTGCTCCACACACAGAAGAAACTCCTTAATATAACTGAAAATTATGCATATAGAAACAGAAAATGAGGGTTGGAAGGAACCTCAGGAGGTTATGTAGTCAACCGCCTGCTCAAAGCAGGACCATCCCCAACTAGACTATCCCAGTCAAGGCTTTGTCTAGCCAGGTCTTAAAACCTTCCAAAAATGGAGATTCCACCACCTCTCTGGGTAACCTGTTCTAGTGTTTTACTATCCTCTGAGCGAGAGAGTTCTTCCTGGGTGTGTCTACATGTGCATTTATGCTGGCTTAAATTTACTGCACAGTAAATTACTGCACAGTAAGCAGGAATAGGCCAGTGTTTACACATGTAGGCGTTAAAGCGCATTAACACTGTGTGTGGACTAAAGTTAGTCCCAAGTCAGACATCCACATGTGCATTACTGTGCAGTAACTAATCAGGTGTAAATTTGATACCTGCATGGTACAGGTATGAAATTTATGCTCGTCAGCATAAGCGGCCATATTTACTGCGCAGTATGGGCATACATGTGTAGATGTGTGCCCATACTGCGCAGTATTTTCGGTTACTGTGCAGTAAATGTGCACGTGTAGACACGCCCCCTCATATCTAACCTAAACTTCCCTTGTTACAATTTGAGACCATTGCTCCTTGTTCTGTCATCTGCTGTCACTGAGAACAGTCTTGCCCCACCCACTCTGGAACCACCTTTCAGGTAGTTGAAGGCTGTTATTAAATCTTCTCTCATAGATTCATAGATGTTAGGGTCGGAAGGGACCTCAATAGATCATCGAGTCCGACCCCCTGCATAAGCAGGAAAGAGGGCTGGGTCTAGATGACCCCAGCTAGATACTCATCTAACCTCCTCTTGAAGACCCCCAGGGTAGGGGAGAGGACCACCTCCCTTGGGAGCCCATTCCAGACCTTGGCCACTCTAACTGTGAAGAAGTTCTTCCTAATGTCCAATCTAAATCTGCTCTCTGCTAGCTTGTGGCCATTATTTCTTGTAAACCCTGGGGGCGCCTTGGTGAATAAATACTCACCAATTCCCTTCTGTGCCCCTGTGATGAACTTATAGGCAGCCACAAGGTCGCCTCTCAACCTTCTCTTGCGGAGGCTGAATAGATCCAGTTTCTCTAGTCTCTCCTCGTAAGGCTTGGTCTGTAGGCCCTTAACCATACGAGTGGCCCTTCTCTGGACCCTCTCCAGGTTATCCGCATCCCTCTTGAAGTGCGGCACCCAGAATTGCACGCAGTACTCCAACTGTGGTCTGACCAGCGCCCGATAGAGGGGAAGTGTCACCTCCTTGGACCTATTCGTCATGCATCTGCTGATGCACGATAAAGTGCCGTTGGCTTTTTTGATGGCTTAGTCACACTGTGGACTCATGTTCATCTTGGAGTCCACTAGGACTCCAAGACCCCTTTCCACTTCCGTGCCACCCAGCAGGTCATTCCCTAGGCTGTAGGTGTGCTGGACATTTTTCCTCCCTAGGTGCAGCACTTTGCATTTCTCCTTGTTGAACTGCATTCTGTTGTTTTCTGCCCACTTGTCCAACCTGTCCAGATCTGCTTGCAGCTGTTCCCTGCCCTCCGGCATGTCCACATCTCCCCATAGCTTTGTGTCATCTGCAAACTTGGACAGAGTACATTTCACTCCCTCATCCAAGTC